AGAAAGAAATGATGTGTCCCTCATATATATATATATATGTATATATATAAATATGTATTTCCACAGTCTATGAAAGGAGCCATGGTCAAATGTATATGCTTTTGTGTAGTTATGTGAGTTCTATTTCAACTCCTTATTTTCTTTAGGGAATGTGGTATAAGTAATCTTTGGAATATTCATTTCTTTTGAATTGTTCAYAGTAATCTTTGCTTTTAAGTGAATTAAAAGGAGATTAGGTATAATTACAACAGTGGGACACAGCTGTAGCTTTGTGTACACTGTAAATGCTTATTTATAATAAAGAAACAAAAATCAAGGCTAAGTAGCTTTGCCAATATTTCTTTCTCTGAGCATTATCACCCTTGACTTAGTTTCTGTGTGACATTTCTTCAGTGTAGAGGTTGATAGGTAAAGTTGGCTGTACTGCATATATCTATTGCCATTGAATACCTAGAAAATGCTCTGCTTTCAATAGCTTTATAAGCACAGGATTTAGTCTAACAATGGAGACAATATTACTTCAAAGGCATTGGCATCATACCCAGGTGTTTAAAGATAGGATATGTCTTTTAGTCTGTAGGAGGAAAAGGAATGACTGCCAGAGGTTTTGAGGTTTCTCAAAAAAACATGAAAGCATATTATTCACACAAACAATTACTAAGGTGTTTGACTACGGTAAGCTTACAACTGTGCACTGCCTGTTCATGGCATTAAGACAAGTCCTTTTTGTGGAGGTAGTTCAAAAAGACTGTTCTTCTCCTTGGCTGTGAAAGGTCATGTAGATATGCAGCATTTTGGAAGATAATGAATTTTGAAGGAAGGACACACTTGGACACACTTTAAAAAAATAATACAAAATAAAAATATGCAATAAGAGTTAGGAAATATGTTACATGGAACTTTTATAAAAATCCATAGGATGTTTATTTTCTAATATTGTTTCAAGCCCCAAAATAGACACTGCTAGGATGACTCCTTCCACAACATTTTTATATTCTTCTCAWTTTTTTTTTTATTATTATTCTTCCCAGAGCTGGAACAGTAGGTATGTTGGGAAGCAATGGCATGAAATGAGGCTTGATGCAAAAGCATGGTGATGATATTAGGAAATAGCTGTATAACTTGAGATCCTGTTGAAATAAGGGCAAGCAACTTCTTACTCCGAAGCATGGAAACACTTCTTTCACATAAACTAGGAAACTTTCCTTTCATTTTTAGTTGTGTGACTGCCTGCACATCCATGAAACACAATCCTTCTAAATAAATGCAGTGTTGCTAAATGCATTTGTTATGGCAGAACTGTGAAGTTACTAAATAAAGGAGCTGTTTAACCTTTTTCTAAATAAGTCATGCTTACTTAGAGTTAGTGACGTTAGCACTTCAGGAAGAGCTACAGAAGTGCCTGAATGCTGTGCCCTACATTCAGAGGTTAGGGATGGTTGTGGGAGAAGCAAGAACCATTGATTCTTGAAAAAAATGACATCTTTCCTAGAACRGAGGCACTGTTCCTCAGTGGTTGACTCTGCAACCAGCCTATTCCTAAAATTATGTAGTAGAGTCTGCATAGCACAGGCTGCTGTYACTTAAAGCTGTACTTAACAGCACAATATTGCCATGAGTTTTACGTTTCAAAATGAGAACTTGGCAGACTAGAGAGTGAAATAGAAATAAAAGCTAAGGCATCACGTTTCTTTCAGGATTATTAATATATTTTGGAATCTTAGTCATGGGCTCAAGCTCTTTATCAAGCATGGGATCTAGGGTTATACATTTCATGAAGGAACTACCTCTCCAAGATGAATGCAGATGATACATAGGGAAAAAGCACACTTTTCTTCAGGGTAGGTAATAAAAAAAAAATAATATCCATGAATAATTTTAGTCATGTGGAGCATGAGAAAAGAATGAGGCCCTTTGTGTGAAAAATATCAGTGGGTAACTTGCCAGAACTCCTCTTTGGTCTCTTAAGAGCAATGCATTTATTAACTGCTCCATTTGTGTAACAGGCATGAAACTCTGCATGAGCACTCAGGCTTCCAGTTTGTATGGAACTCCAGAGTTCTCTCTCCAGACAAAGAACAAGAGAACTTCACCTACTTATAACACAAGACTGATGAACAGAAATGATAGTATAATTCTAGATGAAATTTTCATCTTAAATATTTGTCATCTCTAAACTGAGGTGGTTGTGTTAGCCAATGAACAGATAAGTCACTTCAAATTTGGTCTGTAGGTAGGGTGAATCTGGAAGGGTCTGCAACTGTAAAGGTCTAACACTAATTTTTAAATTGCTAAACCTAGAAGAGAAGAATCTTAATCTATATTGATAATGACATTTTTTCCCACCAGCTCCTCATGTAATTCTTTCTAGAACCACAAAATTGTCCCCAAAACAAGAATATCCAGATATTTGGGGACTTTCTCCCACATACAGGAATATTTTGGTGGCAGTTTGGTGCTTCTTTGCCTTACAACTTCCCATAAGAGCTGAGGGCTTTTTCCCATGCTTTTCTGTCAAGATACCATCCCTATGGCATAGCTGGTATCTGAGACCTTCGTGTCGTAAGATGTTCTAGTGCCCATAAATTACAAAATCCGGTTCATGCATAAGGCAACTCTGTCCCTTCTTTCCTCTTTTACACAGTGACCTGATGAAAATTATATATCATTTGGAAAACAGCATTTTTTGACAGAATAGTGAGAAAGAATGATGTTGGTAGCATGCTACAGGTGCATCTCTAAGCACGGTTTTCACTCAATGCAATTACTCTTTCATCCTCTACCCATGTGGAAGGTCTGTGCATCTTGCACATATAAGGCCCACATGGTTAAAAATGACAACCAAGTCTGCAATCACTGATTTAGGAGTTATCAAATAGTTCATCAGCTGCAGCTCCTGCTACATAATGCCCAGAGAGACAGGGGTAAGTACAGCTAACAGAGTGTCACAGCTAATAGAGCTGTCACAGGTGTAAAAGGATCTACTGTTTCAGGAAAATTCCCAAAATATTTTGTGTCGTATCCATGCAGGTTTTGAAGATCTCCAGGGAAGAAGATTCCACAACCTCTCTGGACATCCTGTTCTATGTTGTTCTAGGATATGACACTGTTTAGAATCATTTATTCAGATTTAAAAGCAGCTCTTAACCTTGAAAGGGAGTTGACTCAATAAATACCAATGTACATTAATTGTAGAAATGAATGACGTTAGTCCCATAACTACTCTTAGCTTTAGGATCCATATTTCACAGGTGGCAAGAATGCAGCCTTTTCATTAGTAATGATTATAGGATTTTGCTAGGAACACTTTTTTTTTTTTTTTTTTTTTTTTTTTACATGTAATAGTGATTAGAATTTCCTACTGTAATTAATTAAATCATCATATCTTTCAAGAAACCTAATTCTGTGTTCTACCTGTGTGAATTATATAAAATTATAGAACCGTATAGCATAGTTTAGTTGTAAAGGAGCTCGGAAGCTCATCAAGTTACACTCTATGCTAAACAAATGGCCAAAYTGAAGGTTAGATTAGGTTGTTCAGCACCTTGTTCAGTCAAATTCTGATGATCTCCGCAGATGCAAAATCCATCCCTTGCCTAGGCACCCTGTTATAGTGCTTAATTTCACTGTAAAAACATTTCCTGTTCTATCTAGTCAGAACTGCAATTCTTGACCCTTATCCCATGTCCATTGATTATGAACATCTTAGAAGAGTCTGACTCAGACTATCCCCTAACCAACACAATTGCCCTTTGCGAGACTCACTGCAGTTTGTGGATATAGGTCTTGTCCTGGGAAGTCCAAAACTGGACACTGTACTCCACATGCAGTCTCACAAATGCCAAAAAAGAGAGTAAAATCACTCTTTTCCATCCTCTGGCTACATACTGGCTAACGCAGTACAACACATGGTTAGCCTCCACTGTCGCAAGGGAGTGCTGCTGATTCATGTGCAACTTGTTGTCAGCCAAAAGCCCTCAAATGTGTTTTGTTAGAGCTGCTTCTTAGCCAATTGGTCCCTAGCCAACTGATTTTTGTCAGATATTTCTGTCAGATCATTTCTCCAGATTGTAAAGGTCCCTCTGAATGACAGCCTTATTATGCAGCATATTGACTGCTCCCTCCAATTTGGTGTCAACCACAAACTTGCCAAGGGTGTGCTCCTTTCCCTATAATTATGAAACTATAAAACACACCACTGCCATTTCATCCAGTATAGCCAATGCACTGGTTTCCTAAGTAATACAAAACAAAGGACTGTTTTGGAAGGTCATACTTCCAGAGTAGTAGGGCAGTTGTGAGACTATGAAGGAAGAATTTAATTTAATTAGAAAATAACCTATTTTTTGTATAAGAGTGGAGAATGACTGGTTTGGTCAGTAATGATTTCAGACTGAATTTTAACAGGAACTGTTAATATCCACAAATAGTAGATGCACATAGGTACTCTTCTGTCTGGTAGTATTTCCATAGAGTCTCATCTTAATCTAGGCAACTAGGACATGCCGAATAAAACCGTTGTGTGTGCTTTAATATTTGTGCAAACAATAACCTTTATGTAGTTTTGGGTGGAAATGTTCATTAAAGTAACAACTTTAGCACTTTGAATTTTACACTATAGGACCAATGTAAAGAAAACRTAGCATGAACAGAAGTTTTGACGAAGTTTTCTCCTTTTTTTTCCCCAAAGAAAAGTCAATGGGCAATATTCTACTTTGATAAAAACAATGATGTCAATCTGCAGACACTTCAGTAGCTGACCCACTTTATTTGCATTGCTGAAGATCAAGCTCAAAACTTCACTGTAACTGGATGCGTCAATCATTAGCAGAGAGCCTTTGTACTGGATGGTCACATTGACTGCAAATGTTAAGTGCAATGAAAAATACTTACAAAAATGATTTCTGAGTGTTTCATCTCATCTGAAACAAAAGTAGGAGGAAATAAAAAATGGAACAGAAGCAAACAACCTCCTCCTTTGAAGAATGTGCACATGACAAATGCACTGTTGTATCTGGTCTCTGTATGAATTTTACAATACCTGTGACGCTGACTCACCTTGTCCTATCAGGAAGCAGAGGAGCTATAAATTATGTTCCAGTGAGGAACCTCAGTCACTTCCACAACCATCTGAGAGGCACGGAAAAAACTTCCATTCTTCCTGGAGTCAAAAGGTAGAACTTATATTGATTTGTTTACTTAATGTATTGCAATTTTTTTTTTCAGGTATTAAAGTGTAACCTATCATACGAGACTTATGGTCCCTTGAACAAGCTAGGAAGGTCACAGGAAGAGGATTTTATTCGGTTAAAAGTGCAGATTAGATAGGMACTGGCATAAAGCAAGCTGAAAATAAGGAGAAAAAGACTGATGTACAATTAAAAATGGATGAAAAATGGTCTGTATATAAGAAAGAAGCATCTTGGCAAAAGAATTAGACACACATAAAGACAGAGAAAGATTGAATGTATTGAATTGAATATATATTCAACTCAGTATACTCTATTGCTATGTTTAGATATCATCATGTCTTTTCAGGATTGGGAAATTACCACCTTCCTCTTGCACAAAGTGGCTGCTAAGTAGGACCTTATGCGGCAATGCTGTGCGAGAGAAATGACAGCTTGTATTAGTCCGTTTCAGGTCATTTCAAAGATAATAAAAATTAATGGGGATGCTCTTTTATAATACAGATTCAGTTTGTGAATAATTTACGATACTTTTTTTTTTCAGGATTGAGCCTTTGAAGGAGGAAAGTGAAAAAAAAAATCATAAGTTTGCCAAACTAGGGGTTGTTTGACAAACTAGGGATGCTAAAGCACTGTCTTTCAGTGGCAGGTCCCTGTACACAGATGGAGTTGCAGAAAAGTCAGCAAGACTTGGCACGTGTCCTGATTTATGTTTGACTAAGGGGGGAGAAAGGAGGGGTGATGGAGAGACTGATTCTAGGATCAGTGCCTAGAAATTAATGCAGAGCAATTAAATTTACATCTTTTAAACTGTAAGCATTTGGTTGAAACCTGCGGGACTGCCAAAAGTGCATTAGTATGTTGGAGCAGGAAACCCACTGGTTCTTAAAAAGCATTCCAATGCCATTTTGTACTTTGTATCACAGGTTAAATTACTAATTATATACATTTAATAAATATGCTCATTAAACTGATATAAAATATCCCAGAAAAATAATATTTCAGCTATTTTATTTTTTTTTTATTTTTATCTTTTACTTCCAAAATAGAATGCTGGACATGGAAGAGTTATTTTCAGTAGAGAGAGAAAAAATATTTTAAAATGTTTTAAGAGACAAAGGTTCATTATACTTATATGAGAATCAGCATATTTTGCACTGAGAAGATATACTTTTGCTTGTAATTTAAGGGTACGTGAAAATAATCCACTTCTCTTCCTACTTAGGAAAGAAAGGAGAAGAATCATCTTTCATGTTTAAAGGCAAACTTTTGCCTTTAAACTGCCAGTTTACATACACTGAAAAACACTTCTGCAAAAGCTCTAAGAAGCAAGTGTCTAGGAAAGATACTAAGAGAAATCTTGTGTGATCCCAGAGTTTTTCAAGATAGTAACAGATTAGCTCTAAACTAAATAGTGCCATTAACCAGATCCAAGAACTGGAGCTGTTCCTCTTTATACTGGCTGGAAATTGTGTGTTGTGTCCAGTGTCACGTACACGATTTGGTGAGGAAAATGTACCATTTGGAAAAGTGCAGCTAATCTTATGCGTTCTCCAAGAGCAAGAACACCTTAGGTTTTATACAAGCTGGTTGCCTCCAGGTAAGGAGACTTTGCTGAGTACAGAAAGACCAGRAAACCCTATTGGCCCTTCCCCAGGAGTAAATTAAAACTAAACCCAGCAGACTCTTAAAACCAAATAAGCRCTTACATTAATAACATCTCTATAGCAACATGCCCAAAACTTCTCTCGGAGAGGRGTTTGGGAAAATTGCCAAAACAAGTAAATTCCAGTCTAGTCACCTGCTTGCCTGCCCCAGGTAACTGAGCAGAAACAAGCTGAACATAACTTTCATGGCTGGTTGCAATCAGATATCAAATATAATGACCTTATTACCATCTGGACTGCTGTAGTTGGATGGTTCATTCGAAGCTCTGAAAAGGCTCCTGTTTCTGTACACACTCCACAATACTCACATTTGATCAATAAACTTACTAGGGACAAAAAAAGTTAAAAAAAATAAAATAAAAACACAGAGAGAGAAAACAATAATAGATTTCTAAACCAAATGCCATGGGGAGACAGTGCTGGACCATTTCTGGTCCAGCCATTTCACATCCTGCTTATGTGTGAAGAAGCTTCTAGAAATATTCCTACTCTGGTCCTTAATTCTAGAGTTCAGATATCTAAATACAGAAGTCTGCACATGCATCTAAACTCTCATTTCAACTAACAGTCTTGTCAAAACWGGCAGTGGAGATCAGGGAAAGTTTCAGATTTCCCCTGATCTTTCAGACACAGACACAAACCAAAAATGGTTTCCACCACTGGCAGCTCTGTAGCAAACTGAAGTCTTTCTAAAAGAAGAAAAATACAGATGTCCTCCTACACTGTGAACTCAGATGAAGAGATTAAACCAAGATTTGACCAGAAAGTGAAAAATATACAAAGCAATCGATTCTTAGTCTTTCTAGAAATTTTGCAAAGTAGAGATTTTTTTTAACTTCTAAAAATGGAAGAGAGAAGAAGGAAAGAAAGAAATTAATACCCTTCTTCTTGAGAAAGCACCTGGAGAAGCATGACAGATRTGTTACATATTTGGAGAGATGAAAGCACCATAAGGGGGAAAAAAATTAACACAGGGTCCGTTCTTCCCTTTTCAGAGATGATTCTGCCATCAGTGTTGCTGTGTCTCGTAGCTGTGCTGCCTTGGTCCTTTGGAGAGGTAGGATTCATTTTCATGTGGAAAATCTGGATTGGCCTGAACAGGCTTGRGGCCTGATTGATTCTGGCTTTTCCTATGCACACCGGTTATGTGTAGGAAGAGTCTTGTTAGATATCTGGGTTTTGAAGAGACAATATCCTTGAAGTCTGATGCCACAACAAAAGCCCTCTTCTCAAGGTCTGTGAATTTCAAAGCAGACGACTGCACCCACATTTTCACACCAAACTCACACCATTGCTTTACTAGAACTACTTCTTTCTACAAATATTCTTTTTCTAATGCTGTAAGGGCTGAAGCTCATTTAAATTCATTAAGTGGCAAATACAAATGATGTGCTTGGTGCATGACTATTCTCACTTGAATTAGACAGAAGACTAAGGTATTGTTGAATAAAGGTATTCATAAGGTATTATGAATGAAAAGAGAAATAGCAGATCTTTTAAATACTAATGTCTCTCTCTMTATATATAATTAAAATATATTAGATGTAAAAAAAAATTACTGAATGTGGTTGGATTGTCATGACATGTGAAAATTAATTCTTACAAAGAAGATTTTCCTATACAGTGTTATCATATCACTAAAACTAAATCTCATCCAGTCCAACTAAATGTATGGAAATAGGTAACTAATTACCTTATTCTGGGGAACATCAAGTTATTCATACATCAGTATGAAGTGTAGCACGACGAAAATAAGAGTAAGAACCGTTGCACTCAAGGCAAAATAGAGAACAGTAGTCTAAAYATATGATGGGATATTTCAATTTTCACTCTTCACAAGTTATCCTAGAAAATCAGTGATAAAGTTTGAAAACAAGAGAATTCTTCATATGGTTATTGTTTCTATTGGAAAATACAGGAAAAGATTGAAAAATGAAGTCAGTTATGGCAGGAGKGGAAGAAAACATTGATATCTTAATTTTTGTGCAGTGGGATCTCCAGATGGAAGCATCACAGGAAGTCTGTGACAATCCTWTTGTATTATGTGTCCTCCAGTAAACCGAAATCAATAGACATGTTTAAAATATTGGGGAAAAGTATCATGAGCCTAGMCAGGTCTTTTTCTGATTTTTATATCCTGTTTCTCCAAACCTTTGTGAAGGAAACTATAATAACAGTAAGTTGAGTCTGATACAGTTGCCTAAATTTAAGAATCTAAAGTCACATGAGATAAGATATGCTGGACATGATGTGATAGAGAAACTAGTGGTATTTTTTATTACTGGGAAACTCTAAGTGATAAKATTTTATTACTGCAAAACTCTGTGCATAAGAACAATCTCTAGATAGTCCTAGGAAATGAATTATAGCATCTCGTCCACTACTGGGGCCATTCCTCAGTTTGATGTTAGCATTATATCATTTTCTAGACAGTATTCAGTATTTAGCTTAATTCAAATAAGTAAGATATATAATACAGTCTTTCAATTTAGGAACCTGCAAGTTTTGATACTCTGTCAACTAGCAAAGCAGAMCAACAAAAGCTGATTGTTGACAAACACAATGAGCTGCGGAGAGGAGTAAAGCCRCCTGCCAGCAACATGTTGAAGATGGTAAGTTACTTGCATTTCTATTTGCAGAGAGTAAAAGACCCAATGAGACATACAAAATCATGTGCAAGATCACATTATTTAAGGTAGCAGCAAATACGCTCTCACAATCTTTCCTGTGTTGAAGTRCTAGGAATACCAGACACAGGTAGTACCAAGAAAAATACAGTTTTGCCAAGATTGGGAAAAAAAGTCTAGCAAACAATGATGTCTCTTTCTTTTGAAGAAATATTAGAAGGAAACACAACACTATTCCTTTTATTTTGATGCATTCAATGTCAGTCTGCACAGTTTCTAGTCTTTTCATGAGTACACACTTATTTATGTGTTCCTCCTCCCCAGAAAAACAAACAAACAAACCAAAACACAAGAGGCAGAAAAAGGAAYTGCAGGAGATTTTTTTATTCTGATTACAAGTGTAATTTCCAGAATTTTGTTTCTCCATATGGAATTTTTAACTGTTACATAGCAGAATGACCAATATTTTCTCCTTTCATTAAGGAATGGAGTCCTGAAACTGCAAAAAATGCAGAACTTTGGGCAAATCGTTGTACTTTTCAGCACAGTCCTCCAGAAATGAGGAAAACCAGTAAGTAAAATACGAGTACTACTACCTCCCATTTCTATCATTTCAGCTGGTTTACAGCACTGAACAATTAATTATTTTTTTGTTTTGTTTTTAAAACCATTTGTCTAAGCATTTGAGATGACCTGTTAGATTCAATGTAACTTAATTAATGCATGGATCAAAGACAAATTTCTACATATAAATCCTCACCCACTCTCACTAGTTTTACAAGTATATCCCATTTACTTCAGAAAGTGAGAAAAAAAATCCCTCAAAATATTTATCAGAAAGAAGAGGACCTAGACCCAGTTTCTTACACAAATCATCTTGCTTGGACTGTATAAAGCTGTCTGGCATAGAAAGGATGAATGATAAAGGTTCAAAAGCAACTGGCAATTCCAAACATAATTCCTAACGAAGATGGGACTCAAAATTTAAAAAAATTCTCTGGGAACTTGAAGGTAAACAGTAGGAACTATAGAATTTTCCTGGATGAAAACAGTGGGTAAATTCTTATGACAAATACCTTTCTGAGTACCAGATGTAAGGTTTGAATTGTTGGGATTTTACCAAGATTACTGAACTATGACCTGAATACTGAGTGGGATTGCTACATTTTGAATAGCAAAATTAGAGTCACCACAAACAAATCCTTGGTGAATTCATGGAAATGTATCTATGGTTGTGCAGATTCCCTGTCAACACCAAATTCCAAGTCAGACAGGTTAGCTATGCTGAAAACTAGTCAAGTGACAACTTAAGTAGTGACAAACTCTCTGAGTCACTGGCCTGTATGAAAAAAAAAAAAAAGGAAAGAGTACTATCCCATTGGGATGAGAAGAATGTCTATTCCATACAGCCTTCTGCTGGTTCTCCTCACGTGTGTCTGTTTTCTGCATTTCTCCTTCTCTTCTCAGATGTAAGCTGTGGTGAAAATCTCTTCATGGCAAGCATTCCTTTCTCATGGCCAGATGTTGTTCAGGCCTGGTATGACGAGGAGAAAGATTTCAAGTATGGAATTGGACAAACCCGTCCAGGTGCTGTGGTTGGCCACTATACTCAGGTAGATTCAACATTTTTATATTTGGGCCTGAAACAATAAATACCTTTATGTTAGCTAAATGACTTTTCCTCTTTCATAAGTACACCAACGACAGAAGAATCATTATGATAAAAAAAAAAAAAAAAAAAAGGATGAAAGCTTTCAAAGTAACAGAATATAAATGAAAATAATAGGCTAAATATGTTTTCAGTTCTTTGTTAGGGAAGTAAACTAGACAAGAGAAGTTGTTGATGCCTTGGTGTAGGACTAGACGACAACCAAGCCCAGGTTAGTACTAGGGAGTGTTCCTGTGCAGCAGGGAGGCAGGTATAAATTTAGGACAAGAGGTAAGAGACGTAGTCATCCCAGCCACCCCATTGCCTGGAGACTGTGGCTAGGTGTGATGAGAGATATCCTCATCCAATATAATGATTAATGGCAAGCAGGGCTGCTGGATCGTCCTGTGGGAGAATACTTGGTAATTCTGAGCTTTTTCTGAATTATGATTTTTTTTTAATGCATGCTTTCTAACATATGTGTCTCAGAACCAGATTGTTATTTTGCCAGTACCACCTTTGTTTTTCTTTTTTTTTCCTCCATTAAGGTGTCCAACCACACACACCCTAACTCCTGTGTACAACATGACAAACAATTACTACCTGTATATATACAGATACTGGCAACCCAAAATTTTCTCAGGAAAAAAAACAGAGGGGAGAGACTTATTGTCCATTTAATATTTGAAAAGTGATTAGGTATTGATTATAACTTTACTGTCCCACTATTTGGAAAAAGGGGAATGGGGAGTAAAGGGAACTTCTGATCAACTGCGTATGATGCAGGACACAAAATTGAAAATCATGATACCTGCATCTTCTTCAACAGMTGCAACTGACTGGAAGCATATCTTATAGAGGTAGACAGCTTAATTTAAAAGTTCTGAGAATGAAGAGTCCACCACATTTCTTGAATATAAACCTCTTTATATCCTAAATGTTCTTTGACTCAATATTAAATAGCTAGAAAAAAGAAAACTAGGGCTTTCCTGCAAGATGAGACTTATATTTTACTATACAGGATAAATAAAATGACTAACTTTTGCTTCCAATATGTTTCTTTAATACATAGTGTATTTAAATGATGTTCATATGTATTTTTTTGCTTTGTTTTTTAATTCTCCCATGGGTTTTGCTCTTACATTTGCAGGTCGTTTGGCACAGTTCTTATGAAGTTGGATGTGCATTTGCTTATTGTCCTAAGACTTTGGGATACATGTATGTCTGCCAGTATTGCCCTGCGTAGGTATTGATTCTGATACTGGAACTCCTTACTACATTATCAAAATAATTTAGGACATGATGGAATACATATCAATGTATATCACCTATAGCTGGCATAAAAGTCTGAGGAACATTTGTAATAGGAAGACAGAAACACACTTGTAAAAAGAATTGCCATACCAAAGCAGAAAATATAAAAGTGATATGTATTTTCAGATTATTTTTTCCTTACCTAACACTCACAATTTTCATGCTAGTGAATCACAAAGGAATATTTTCTATATTCTCTTTGATGTCTTGATTCAGAAAGGCACATCAATATATATAGTACCATTCAAACTTTATCATTAATAACAAAACATTAGTGAGGATTTTAAGGTACTTGTCCAAAAGTAATTTAGAGAAATTGATATTTAAATACAGGAAAAAAATGTTTTAGCTATAATGAAAGACTGAGTCTAAATAAATATATGCATGCATTCATATAATTACATTTTTCTCTTAAGCACGTTGTACTTGTTTCTAATTTATGCTGATAAAATTGATGTTTCAGGGGGAATAATATAAATTCAATCAATACACCCTACAAAGAAGGAACACCTTGTGGTGACTGTCCTAATGATTGTGACAATGGACTATGCAGTAAGTTTTAAGTATTTAAATTATGACTGAAGCAAAGTTGATATCTTTATCTCTTCTATCTTTGAACAGTAGTTATTGATCAGGTAGCAAAAGCATCTAACTTAAGAGACTGAGAGAGTAACAATTTTGAATCACAATTCCTTGGTACAAGAATTCTAGTAGAAAATAAGGGCAATTGAGTTGAGTCACATTAATACAAAGTTTCCCTTCAAATATATCTGCTTTTATTTGGGCTAATTTCTCATCATAAACTATAGCACAGAGGAAAAAACTTTCAATGGGAAGCCTCTTTGATACAGCTAAGAATATTGCACTGGTAGTCAAAAGTTTTGGATGCTGTTGTGGATAAATAACAAAATAAGAGGAAAGAATTATGTGAAAAAGGAAACAATGATGAAGAATTATTAAGAAAGGAAAAAGTTTCCCATTTRTGATTAATTTCATGTTTTGATTCTTTTTCAGCCAACCCTTGCAAATATATGGATATGTATGCAAACTGTCCGAACTTGACAAAGTCTTTTGGATGTACCATGTTAACTACGGTGTGCCCTGCTACCTGCCAATGCAAAACTGAAATAAAGTAACAGGCTTAGGCTCTTCCTCGCCTGGGCATCCATCTCTTTAATGACAATAACTCTCGCAAAAGGAGATTTTATCTTATCTTTCTTATGTATGTGGAAGGACAAACTCCAGTTGCATTTCTTACATGGGAAAAAGATGTAGGATCATGTACATGTTTTATTTGCATAGTTCTCTGGAAGTCTAGTAGAGTTTCTTAGTTGACARTTGGCATTTGGGTGCCAGTCACATATCATATTTAACATCTCAGGTCTTTCTTCTCTAAAACTGTTTTCTAAATAATAATAAAACTGCTAATAAACAGCATTACCATAAATGTATAGTTTTCAAAGGATATTAGGAAAGCAAAGCTGCTTTTCTTAGATTCTCAGTTACAATTTGTGGTTCTCCTGACATGCTTTTCATTCTAAAACACTCTATAAGCTTTAATGGGAAAAAGTCATACTTCATTTAAATGTATGGTTCGGTTTATAGTATAGGGTTGTACTCAGTATAAATGAAAGTAACCAAATCTATTCTTTAAAAGACAAGACCTGTCTGAGAAAAGYGCTTAGTTCATACAAACAAGTAGCCAAGGAAACGGGGTCTCTGCATTTGGAAATTTTATTTTTAATTAAAACTAGGCAAGTCTTTAAAAAAAAAAAAAAAGGTATTTCTGTATCAATCATTAAATTACCGATTATTCACTGAGCAATTCATTTACATTTGCATTCTTTCTTATTACCACTTTGTGGCCTTACCAGCATTAAGTCTTGAAGGAAGACTGCTTTGTTAGTAGCATAAGCACAATTTTTTCCTGAGAGAAACTAAAGATTTCTTATTAAAAAAAAAAAAAAAAAAAAAAGCTTTTCTCAGACTTTCTTTCCCGAGAAAATGACTGTTAATATAAATAACATGCAATATGCACTACTCTGGCCATCATGGAGCAAGTGACACAGTTCCATGGGACTAAAAAGTCATTTTAGTCTCACGTTAGGATGGTTTCACCTCCTGTGCTCCTGTGGGAAAGAAGCTACTGTCACGGCTTCCTAGTTTCCCAGCTTTCATGTCTACAGAAGCCTTAGWAAGAGAATAATTTAAGCACACATTTCTGCTCATTCATTTCATTGGCATTTCTGCTACTCCTGAAGAGTGAGGAGGAAGTTAAAGGATTGATTTCATAGCACAAATTTTCATTTTTTTCTTTTTTTTTCCCATTTTCTCATTCTTCTCCACCATTTTTTTTCCCTTGTGGCATGCTTTTTGCTTATTTGGTTTATACTGGGTACATTTGCAAACATTTGTTAGCGAACTAGGCAATGCCAAGACATGGAACTGTCTGTGCACTGGAAGCCTGTGCACTGGAAGCTACATCTATACAGTCACATTTTTGGTGCAAATCCTGTGGCAGAATGATGATTGTACAATAGTTAATCCAGTTTTGTTATCATTAGAGAAATAAGTAAAGTAATTGCCCCCTTTGCTATAAAAATAAGTACACATTTTGTAATGAGTCTAGAAATGAAGAAGTAATGCACTGTTTTTGCATGTATTTGCTAATGAATTTTTGCATTTTTTAATGTATTCCCCTTCCCTCTTAACCAATACCACAAGAAATGATGTCTCAATAGCTATAATATAAAAATCAGCCTTCATACATCTCACCCTAGAGGAATCAAGAAACCGAAGCTGAATTTAGCCCTATTAGCCTCTAGCTTTATTAGCCTAATTTAGATACACAGAAAGATAATAGAAAAATGCTTACTAGTCATTTTGCAATGACAGAAATCATTATATGCCAATCTTGTCCAATCAATCCAAATTTCTTTTTTAATAACTATGTCTAGTGGATGGAGTCCTAACTTTGGCATGTTTGACAAATCCCCAAAGACACTTGCAAACCAGGGAGATATGATTCAGATGAAATGAATGCCTATGACCATTTTTTAATGTGGGGTCCAACTAGTGCTTCTGAGGCATGAGAAAGATTTACTGACCAACTAATGAGGATGAATTATTTGAGAATATCACATGCATAGAGCTTAGACAAATTTAGACACAAGACAAGTAACAAAAACTCAGAAGTTTGGTATCTTTGCAGAAACACRACTTTAGTCACTGAAGAACCCTGAACTGGAAGAAATGGTACATGATCACATATTTTCAGGTGCTATGGGGTTAGGTAGGATATTAGTGGATACACTGGAATTGAAATATTAATTAATTAATATGTCCCAAATCGGGATGCTGATTCTTTGAGAAAACAGTGCATTACTTCACTACTCTCTCAGTTTCCCAGCAGCAGAACGTGTTCTGTTAGCATAAAAAAAAAAAAAAAAAAAAAAAAAAAGATAGACGTGGAATGAAGTGCTGTTTTAACCACTCCAAGTCCATGAAAATTTAGCTATGCCTTTCCTTCTCTCTTTTTGTGTAAAGAAGAGTTTTTCTTTACATAGAAGAGAAAAACTTGTGAAAAAAAACACAGAAAAGAAAAACTCTTGACAATTCATTCCTTGTTATTATGCTAAATAAAACTACTCAGTTTCACTTCTTGAAACAAGAGTCCGGTACTATTTTTTTCCTGTAAAACTTCCTCCACTCCCAGCAATTGCAAGAACAGAAGATACTTTTCCTGTAGGGACTTCACAGCCAGTCACACCTCTTCCTCCTGTCTTCTCCCCTTGGATAAGAGCTGCCTGGGCCGCCTCCTTCTTCCCCCGTCATCTTCTCCAGTTAGGAGAGACAGGAGAGTGGAGGAGAGCTGGGCAAGGGAGACTGTCTTCTGTAAGGTAACATAGTAAAACCAGCCAGCTTAGGAGAGAATGGAAGATCATAGACAGAGACGCATGGAGTGACCTTATCTCACAAGTCTGAAAGAGTGGGAAACTRAGGCAACTGAGGTAGGGAGACTGAAGAGCAAATGTGAGTAGAAACTGTCCTGTCCCCATGTCCAGTGTGCCAAAGCCCAGAGTCTTCTCCCAGACACATTTACTCCATGTAAACAGTTGATGCTTCTCATTCATTTCCTTCAAACTGAGACTTGCTTGGCATAAGTCCTAGTAATAAGTTTTGCCCACACAGGAAGCCTTGAGATGGCTTTATTGATGTGACTCAAAGACCTGGATGAGCATACCTGTCTGACAACACTCAGCATAAGACAGATAGAAAAACAGTATGTTGAGGAGGGACCATATCGTTGTGGTTGCTACACAGAAGACTGTAAATGCTGTGAAGATAGCTGGATTAATAGCCACTGTAGCCTAGCACTTAAAATGCTGCATTTCAGCTGAGGAACAAAATGCAACATTTTAAACTAAAAAACAAAACAACAGTTGGTCATTTAAGTTAAGAGAAGAATATACTTTACTTTTTTGAGCAACTATTGATGTCTGCCTACCTAATTCTGCAAGGACCTCTGCTTTTGTAAAGAATGCGCTTATAACAAAGTGTTCCATAGAACAATGAATACACAATGTTTACTGGCAGATGATGAGACAATGTGATTGTCTTTTTTTTTTCTTTTTCTTTCTTTTCTTTTTCTTTACTTGATTTCACTTGTCTCTTTGTGTCTATTTCCAAATAATATCCAAAAACAAACTTTGCAACATTTTAAAAGACAGAGCTAAAGAACAGTAAAAGATGTAGCCTTAGTATACGGAATTTATTTCTTTCATCCGTCTTCTAATTATTGTGGATACTAGCCAGCTTCTCCAAGGAAATTTGAATACTTCTGCTCCCAGACTAATAATTCTCAGAAATTAATTTAAAATGTTGAAAGAAAATTCTGATAATGTAATGCTTCTAATGAAGTTGCCAGTACAATTTCTAGAGACAAAGATGTAGCTCTGCTTTTCAGCAGACTGCGTAAGCAAACCACTGTGTAGCATGTGTTACAAAAGCAAGAATGTACTTTCTGCAAGAGACGTCATCATTTTGTTATTCAGCCTGTAATATTTTAAAATATGGTGATGAAATTTAATATTCTGCATTCTATTTTAATGAGTGAACATAATTTTTTTTTTACACTAAGCATAATTATTAACTCTTGACTAATAAACACAAGCTCTACAAACACTACCATTATCCCAATATGCAAAAGGCTTTTAAAAAGCCTTCATGAATGAAAACTAGGATTTTTCCACTTCAAATCTTACTAATCTGAGCTGAAAGGTATATTTTTCACTTATCAGATTAACCTCATTAATCTTCTCTGTAATAGTTAATCACTGATATGATTTTCAGATAAATGTTATATAAGAGTACTGCAGGTGTATAAATAACCATAAGTAGCTATAAAGAACTATAAGTAGCTATAAAGTAGCAATTAGCTACTTATGCACCATTCAGATGGATTTCTTGACTCTACCTCTGTGTCTGGCTGCTTTGATGCATCAGTCTGCAGRACAGTTAACAGAAACAAGATGAACTTTACAGAAAAATGG